CAGATTCTCGCTGCATCCGCAATCGTACTTCCTCCACTTGTTGCATTGCTCGGGCCATTTCTGTGTCCCCTTCATCTGCGGGAACTTGGGGAGACGGCCCTTTTGCCAGGGACAAATTTCCTAGGCTGCTCGAGTCAACTTGGAGTAAAGAGCGCTTATATGTAAGGTGATCATCGCTACCCTTGGGCCTGGAGATATCTGTCAAAGAGTTTTGGGTTTCAAAGGTCTCATCGCCAGCAACTACCAATTTGCTCACAGGGGGTCGGCGACTTCTCTGGCGATCGAAATCAACATGGCTGAGCTGTTCATCTCCCAGCTTCAGGTCAACTATGGGGATGGAATCAATATCCAAGACCTCGCCATTTGATGTGTTTAGGGCTTCGTGGAATGGCGTAGACGTGCCAGACGAATCTCCGGAAGGGGCAATATAGAAGGGGTCATCCTTGAAGCGTTCCCTACGCTCGAGCATTCTTCTTTGTATTGCAGTAGAGGATTCGACCGGGGCCCCGGTAAAGTTTTGATATGACGCATGGGGCTGCAAATCAACAGGTGCAAGATCACGAGTCTGCTTGTTGGGAGACGAGAGTTCAGGAAGATGATAGAAGTCGGATGCTTCCCAGGGCTTTGACTCGTGCGGTGATGAGTTGTCCAGGTTGCGGAAAAGCCCTGGCAGATCGTGACTGAATGCCTCCTCTAGGCGAAGGCTATCCGGCAAGACGACCTTCCTCTGGGCACTTGTCGCAACGGGGTTGAGTTCGAGCCCTGTGAATAGGTTTGGTATGACTGAGGCGAGAAGAAATGGGACCTCTTGTGTATCGGAAGTCAATGCCTCAGCTGCTAGGCGGAGGACTTCCAGGAACTCGATGGCTCGCTCTTGGACATCCAAATCAGGATGGGCCGCCAAAGCCTCAAGGAACTCAACAACTCGAGCAAGTAAAAGCGACATCTCACTTTTCCAAAGATCTCCTGGTTGACCGGTCTGGGTAACCTGAACAAACACCTTTGGAATGGCTTGTAAAAAGAGGGAAAGAGTTCTGGGGGTAAGCGATGCATTAGATATGTCAATCAATGACAGTAGTGTCCGATTGGGCGACAACAAATATTCGGCATATTCACCGACAACCCAAGCAACAGGCCCTAGGACACCATCGCCGATAGTTGAACTGGAAGGGAAAAATGTTGATCTGTTGTCGACAAACATGAGGGACTCGGCTGCCCTTGTGGCCTCCGTGCGTACACCTTTTACCCTTACAGCAACATTGCGAATCTCTGTCCCTATTCGAAGCGCAGCGTTCATCCTCAAATTGGGTATAGCCTCTTGCTCTTTCGGATGACCCCAATCATCTTCATTCTCCGACGGTGGAAGAAGTCCGACTAGCTGTACTAACACAGCGACATACCACTCAAAATCAACAATCTCAGAGTAGTTCTTTTGAGAACAAAGATCCAGGATCCGGTGAACAACCTCGGTCTGGTATTCGCTGGGCCATAAAGTTGGGTTTGGAGGGGTTTCGGAGGTTTCGAGCGCATCAACCAATTCAGCTGCAGGGACAGAGGCTTGTTGCAGCTGATCTAGTAGACGGTTCACAACTGGCTGAAGAGAATCACTGCTGACCATTCCAACGGCAAGCTCTAAAGCCTGCAATCGAATAGAAACGTCCGCATCATCCAGGCAATCCATAATGACGTCCTGCTGCATGGAAACTAACGTTGGGTGCGTGGCAACAATGCGGTTCAACGCTAGAAGTGCAACATATTTGACTGCCTCGATGGTTAATGATCAGTTATTTAAACACGACGAAAGGATACTCACGATTAGGGTCACTATCCATAACTATCATACCGCGCAATTTCCCAACACAGAGAGTGGCAACTTCGTCCCTTTCCTGGAGATTCTCTTCTCCGTCCAAAATGCCGCCTTGGATAATGCCATTGATACATTCATAGAGCAGAGACATTGCGGAGGTGGTTTGAATAATATTCGTCAATGGACGCAGGAGTTTGCGAGTCAGCCTTGGCTCTAGCGGGGTTAATGTTGCAAACTAGAAAGGTCAGAGGGTGCTTCGAAGACTATCATTCCATCAAGTGAGGGGCACAAGAGACTCACAAGTTTGATGATTTTGATAGCCATCCAATTATTGCCGCTATCAACCAGAAGCTCAAATAATCGAGGTGCCAGAGGGAGGAAGTCATGAGGTCGTCGCCAACCAAGCTCACAAACCACGTTGATCGCCGCAGTAGTGACACTTCCATCCTCTTGATCGTCCATCAAATGGTCTTTTATTTTGGGCCATGCCAACTTCAGAGCTTCGGGATACACTAAAGCAAGCCTATAAAGACAGACAATCGTTTTCTTGCGCACCACGGGGCTTGAGTGTGAAAGTCGGGAGAGTAGATCGGGAAGCAAGGACATTGCTAGAGAAGGTGTAATGATGTGCGGCAAAGTAATCAGAGGAAGTGACATGTTGGGAATACTGGAGGTGACAATATCCTGGGAAGAGCATTAGCGACTATGGGAAGTTTGAAGCCAGGCAAAGTACAAACCTTCTTCAGCAAGTTGGTTGCCAGCATCAGAACCTCAGTGTCTGGTCGAAAGCTCTGTACTGCTCCGAGATACCCGACTCTTTTCTGGAGGTATTTGGCGGACGACATGACTTCAAGAACGTGAAAAGATGCCCATGACATGTCATACCCAAACATTTCAAGGTAGATGAGCTTCAAGAGGGCTGTAGCCTTTTTGTCTACTTAACCATCAGTATCAAGTCCATTACCGAGTGAACAGGTAGTTGGTACCCATGTCTTGTGTCTTGATCTCGGCCTTGCATTCACGCAAGGAACTCTGGATGTATTCATTTTCACTTCCCTTATGGCCCCGGAGGCCTTTGATAAGGTCATAAAGCGACTTTTCGAACCTAGAGCACAGGAAATTAGCGTTGGCCGATCTGAGGCGGAGACAGGGTAGGGTGCCCACATCGTGTCAGAGCTATCGCCACAAGCTCAGGTCAGAAGATGAAGAATGATGCCTCCTAGTAAGACTTGGGATGCATTATAAATTGGGCTGTCAGATCAGCCATAATTCAGAATGAGAATGAAAGATGGTAAGTGGATGCAAGCCGAGCTCCGCGGGGTGGAGAGTTGGCGTTTGGGGATATCCCCGATAAGGGATCACGGGACTGTGGCCAATTAAGCTCCAGTGCACTCTGTTCTCTTGACATTGAACCATTACATCCTAAGATCACCCCTGCTCTTGACTTGCTATCTTTTTTTCTTTTTTCTTTTTGTTCAAAGTCTTTTGGAGCTGTCTATTATGGCTGGTCCTGTCGCTGATATTCGCGAGATCAGCGGATCGGATCTGATCTCTGCTCTTCATCTTGCTCAACAAGCACCAGCAATCCTTGGCCAGTCCGGGTCTGGAACTATCTCCAATTCTTCCGACACTGCAGATTACTATGCACGATTAGAGCAACTTATGTTGGCCTGTCTTCGGACGGGGGATGACCAGTCAGCACATACTTGTCTGAATCGCCTCAGCCTCCGATTTGGACCCTCTAATGAAAGGATTATGGGGCTTCGAGGCCTGTACGAGGAGGCAACCGCCAAGGATCAGTCGGCGCTAGAAAAATGCCTGCAGGAATACGACAACACCCTGTCACAGAGTCCGGTCAATGTGGTCAGTATTGGTTGCACGTGTTGTGGATTATAGACTAACCATACACACAGCCCATCTTGAAGCGCCGGGTTGCGTTGTTACGCTCGCTCAATCGTCCCTCTGACGCAATTTCCGCTCTTATTCAACTCCTCGATGCGATTCCTACCGATGCCGAAGCCTGGTGTGAACTAGCCGACTTGTATCAGTCACAGGGGTTGGGTTCCCAAGCCATTTTTAGCCTTGAGGAGGCTTTACTCATTGCTCCTAATTCTTGGAATGTATGATTCTCCCGCTTTTTTATTATTATCTTTGACAGTTATTAACATGCCAATTTTAAGATTCATTCCCGCCTGGGTGAACTGCTATACATCTGCGCCTCCGACGGAGACGCATCCCGGCTCCTTGGGAAGTCGGTGCAGCACTTCAGCCGAAGCATTGAACTTTGTGATGACTATCTGCGAGGATTCTACGGTTTAACTTTGGTAAGTCAGCAATAATGGTGTTGACTCATTCCCATTCTAACCCCCCTATAGGCCTCAACACGGATGCTTGACAATGATTACGCAGGCGTATCAGGTCAACTTCCTAAGAAGACCCTGGAAAGATTGAAGGCCTTTGCGCTCCTAAAGTTGGGCGAGATTGTTGAGTCACGGTCGGTCGATGACCAACATTGGGCATCGAGTCGAAGTGAGCTGATTGCAGCCAAAGAACTGTTGAATCGTCAGTTGAAGTAATATTTAGGCGGCTTAAAACGAAAACTAAGTGGCGAGAATACCCTAATAAAAACAAATTCTAGAGTGTTCTGTTGGATAAGAGGATAAGAGTGTATAGGGAGATGGATATTGGGCATTTTGGTTTGGGCAGCAGATGTGTCAAAAATAAAGAAGAAAAACACACACAAAATGCCCAACGGGCCTAATAAAAGATTCTATTTGAGAATTAAAAGAAGTTCTTTCTATCTTTTATTTTTTTTTCCTTTTCTTCATGATATATATACCCTGGACTGATTTTCTACATATATACATACTTCTTATTTCCCTTCTACCATCTTATCCCGACCATCCCTGTCAAGATATTTATATCTTTTTTTTTCTTTTTTTCTAAAAAGGATTGTTCTTTGTTCTTTTGATACTTTTATTCTACTATCTAAGGTCAAATCAAAAGAAAAGGAAGAAAAATAGTCCATGCGCAATTCCCCCCCCCCCCCCCGCGCGATCTTTTTTTTTTTCTTCAACCATTTCTTTCTTCAAACTTCTCTGGTCCCTACCTGGGTATTCCCTCCTCACTTCGCTCATGCGAGAGAGTGAGAAGGACTTGAATCTTATATTCCCCGAGGCTTCTCATTGTCTCTATGACGTATGTTTGTTGTGTTTTCTATATCCCTACCCCCCTTCCCCCTTGAAAGGAACTTTCTCCTTACTCTGCCTCTCTTTACAGGCTCAGTATCTCCATTGATCCAGACCCCCACGGTTCGGATTCTTACTCTGACGACGAGGGATCGTCCGGTGTTCATGTATCTGCATCTTCCGAATTAGAAAGTCATGAGTACCTGGATCATGATGAGTGGGCGCATTTGCCATATCCGGATGAATTGAAACCATCTGATTCAGCCTCTCGACCAAGAACTTCGAACCGCAGTCGTCCGCCCCACGGTTCACGCTCCGCTTCGGGCCGTCGCCCACCATCGCGACGTATGGCAGAACATCAGTCATTCGCCCCTCGAGGTCGAAGACAACAATCACCAGATTCTCCCGATAGTGCCGATTCCGACGAGTACCCTTCCAATTTCGGTCGAAATGGTAGGGGATGGCAGCAACCTATTCCACCCGGATACGCTCCCAGCCAGTCCTCTGGTCCATCGTATCCTCCCTACCCCCCTGCTCCTCCCCCGGGCCATGCCCCGTATGCCCACCACAATCCTCCCCCGATTACATCAGAGCTCATGAGAATTGCTCACCCAGGCCAACCTAATCCCTATGGTGCTCCGCCTTATGGATACCCACCTCAATTTCAACCTGGGCCTCATTTTCTTCCCGATCAACCCCAACTTCATCGACATGCGCCTCGGCAGCCGCCACAGATGCACAATCCAATGCAGCCCCCTATGCCACCAATGCCGCACGCGATGGGTCCTCACGGCGCTCACCCCGCCTACCCTGGATATCCTCAAGAATTAATGGCCTACGGTCAGACTGGTTTCTATCGAGATCCAAGCTATTTCGGCGCACCGATTCCGGGCATGATGCCTCCTCATTATTGGCCACCCTATCCCCCAGTGCCTTCTCCTCCAGCGCAACCCGAACCTAAATCACCCCCAGCACCTGCTCCCGAACCTGCTCCGGCTCCCGCCCCGGCCCCTGAACCTGCTCCTCCCCCCCACCACCGCCACCACCACCCCCTCCACCAGTCGACACTGCCAAGGATGAGCAAATTGCGAGGTTAGAGAAGTTGATTCTGGACGATCGTAACGATCGCGAAGCGAAGGAACTCGCCAAAAAGCAGGCCATCGAACGCGCGGCCGCCGAGAAAGCAGCTCAGGATGCACAGACAGCGCATGATAGGAAGATCACCCTGGAAGCTGCGGCGCTTGCTCGAGCAGATGCCGAAAAGAAGGCAGCAGAGGATGCCGCAAAGGCCAAGGAGGAAGCAGAGAAGGCCACGGCCGCGGCCGCTAGTGAGGCGGCAGCAGCAGCAACCGCTGCCGCCAATGATGCAGCTGCCAAAGCAGCCGCTGCCGCTGCTGAAGCGGCTGCTAAAGCTGCCGAACCGCCGCCACCGCCGCCACCCCCAGAGAAGAAGCAACCTATCAAGTTCAAGGACGCTGTTGGGAGAAAATTCAGTTTTCCATTTGAGCTATGTGCTACCTGGAAGGTAAGTCAACCCCTCGCATTGTTTATATGGTTTTGTATTCTAACTTTGGTTACAGGGAATGGAAGAGCTCATCCGACAGGCTTTCCTCCATATTGAAGTCATCGGACCTCATGTGGCCGAGGGGCATTACGATCTTGTTGGTCCGAACGGCGACATCATCCTTCCACAGGTTTGGGAAACTGTGGTCGAGCCTGATTGGGCTATTACTATGCACATGTGGCCAATTCCTGAAAAGCCAAAGGAAGATCCTCCCCCTGCGCCAGAGCCTGCCCCGGTAAAACCTGCTGATCCACCCGCCGAGCCAAAGAAGAAAGCAGATGGTAAGAATGTCGATTTCAGGCACTCCTATAGACATGCGCTTACCTTTTTCTTTTTCTAGGCCCTAAAAAGGCTAAGGCCAGAGGACCAGATGTCCCCGGAAGTTTCGCGATGTGGATGTTAGGTGGCACTAATCGCCGGGGGGGCAAAGGGGGTCCTAAAGTGGAAAAGAAGCCCGATGCCCCTCCTCCGGCACCTGCACCTGCACCATGAGAAATTAGTTTCTGCGACCACCCTGCTTGGTCTGAGGTGATAACTAACTGGTTTGGTTTCAGGGCGCTTTCGGCCACTATACCCATAGACCTTCTAGGCAACAGAGAGGCATGAACATTGCTTTGCTAATACCGCTTGGAATATGATGACGAATATGATCAATGCCTGTAGTATGTTATATGACATCAACTTTGGATTACGCCCAAGAGTGATATCAACTCAAATATGTTTTTCGAGATATCATATTTGCTAAAGTGTCAATGTAATCATATATAAGATAAAGTGTTGTAAGTGTAATAGCGTAGAGTCACCTCGAGTGAAAAGACCGGTACTAGAATTAATGGCGTCATCTTATAAATAATACTAGTTGTTATGCTAGTTCCTATTTTTATACGGTATTAAAGTGTGTATAGACTCTGATGGAGAGGTCACGTGGAATGGCTGGTTAGGAGGGCAGAAAACGGCGGAGACGACCTCACCGCTCCAGCCGTGATCAGGTCGACTGGACCACTCCTATATTTGTAGTTTTATAGATAATTCACTCCCTTTACTTTAATCTCTTGATACCTTCGTAATCATGAAATCTATCCTAGTTAATCGGAGAGAGCCTTCCTAGTAGCGTATAGGAGTCCCTCGGAAGACTAGGAGTAGCTATAGAGAGAGCTAGACTTCGGCACAACCCACTCTAACCCGGACCCAACCCAACCTAACCTAACCAAAAATGGTTTTAGGTCTATTACTTCGACCTAACGATAGGTTTTAGGTTATAACCTAAAACCTATTAGGTAACCTATGGACTGCGGCAAATTGAGGATATTGGATATCACTTTCATACCATATCCGCAAAATATCCGCATTACATAAGTAATTTATAGTCTTGGCAGTAACGTATTCGGTAAGCGAGCTGGACACGCAAGCGAGCTGGACACCCCACTCAAAACGCGTCCATAAATTAGCACTTTATCAATTCAACCACCCACTATGCCACCAATTCGCTCTTAAAGCTCTCGGAATTCAACAAAGAGGGTAGGATATTACTAGCTATTTAGGCTATTAAAAAATAAGAAATTCGCTCTATTCGTGAGGTAGCACGCTAATTCAACGTACCGAAGTTAACACTCTTCACCCGTATCTATAGGGTATAAAACCGCGCGATTTCTCGGGCTAATTCGTCGAAATTAACCGAAATTAAAGAGGAATCTCTTTAAAAATAGATTCTCTCTATAGATTTACGTAGAGCGGCCCCCCGGCCTACTACTATACGAGAAATAGCGAATCTTTTACTTTAATAACGCGGAACTACCCCGGTGATTTCGGTCGGCGAAAAATAGACCTATAACTTTATATAACGGTATCCTCTCCTCTCCTCCCGATTTTCGAGACGCTATAATTACGAGCGTGCGAAGTGCGAAGACCCGAAGATTATTTAAGAGTGGTTTATACTTATTTAAAATACTATCCTTTAATTTAGAATCGACCCCGATAACGTTTATAACTTTAATAAGACTAGTTTCGTAATAGGGCTAATCGCTACTACGAAGGTAATAATAAGGAGCGAATTCTACGGTCGGCGCTCGCTTTTATAACCTAGAAATCGTGAATAGGTGACCGCGATCGAGTGTACGAATGCTTCGGGTTAGGCCCTCCCTCTATATATTATTTTTAAAGGCAAAGTCTTTATTAAATTATGGTTCGATAGTCTTCCGGATAACTAGCGATTTAAAGTTAGCCCGAACGGTTAGACCTCCGATGAAATTAGACTTCGCTAGCTTAAAAATCTCTTTATTCCTTCGACTTCTTCGCGTACGAAGGGGAGGTATCGGCTTCTAGTACTCGACGGTCACGGAAGCTATTTAACCCCGAAGTTCGATAAAATCTACGAGGAAAATAATATTATACTAATCTATATACCTCTATATTCCTCTCACCTTTTATAGCCTCTCGATATCGGCTATTTTACGGTGTTCAAACGCTCTTACGGTCGGATAGTTAAAATAAAAATGCGGAGTGGGATTAACTATATCGATAAACTTAACTTCCTCGAAGTATACCCCCTCGCACGAACTAAAGCATTTAAATCGGAGACTATTAAGAATAGCTTCGGAGTAGCTAGTTTAGTCCCTTTTTCACTAGAGAGAGTGATCTCGAAGCTAAATATTTAGCTTCGAACCCCTACCCCCCTCCGAGTAGAGGAAGCGATTAGGACCTAAAAACGCCCTCGAACTACGTACAATTATAAAAGTAGGCTTCGTTAATCAAAGCTTTGCTTCGTACGAGGTCGAGGAGCCCCCTAAGTCCGCTAAATATTACGATAAATCAGGTTTTAAAGGCCTATTAAATCACTATATAGTCTACTACTTTACTTAAGAAAGAAGTAAGCGAACTACGCGCTTTAAATAAGAAGTAGAAGCAAAAGCGAAATAGATCCCGGAAGCAGATACAGGCCGACGAAGGCCTCTCAGTTTAAGAAGCTTCTTAATTGATTACTGAGCCTGTGGAAGTAGCTGAAGCACCCCCCCCTACTATAAGAAGTGCTTCGCTAGCATTAGAACCACGTCAACGGGCCCCACCAAGGTGCAGTGGTTGTGGGGGAATAGGGCACAAGATCAATAGGTGTTCAGCTAGATAAATCAATTTAATTGAGTAAATTTAATGGTATTTTCGTCGAGAAAAATATAGTTGAATTCAATGGGTTTAGTGGGGTGTCCAGCTCGCTTACCGAATACGTTATACATTATGTTAATTTTAGTAATTATTAACTAAACTAATGAAACTTTTGTATTTCCTTGATTATTTAGTAATAATAGACTATAAATAATATATTTGCTTAATAAAAGTTATAAACTGAGGAAGTCTTTTTATATAATTTATTTTGATGTTCCCGACTTAAATATGGTATTCCAACCTAATAAGAAAATATATATCTTCACATTTAGTACCTAAAAAGCTTTTATATCTCTATAAACCTAATATTTTATACTAATTATTATTATAATAATATACTTGCCCTAGTTTAATAGAGCTTTCCACTTAAAAAACATAAAATTACCTAATATATTAAGGAGAATACAGATAAAGAACGATTTTTAAATACTAAAAATACCTTACATTGATACACTAGTGCGGATATGCCGCAGTCTATAAACGACGATATATTATAGTAGTAGAGGGTATTGGAGGGAGAGATAGTATAGAGCGGGCTAATCGGAATAGCTTATAAAATATTAGATATTTAATAAGGTATAATAGAAGTCGATTAAGGGTAAGAAATTAGAGAAGATACTCTTCCTATACTAATTATAAAAAAGGAGCCTCTAGTACGCTATAATCCTATATATCTAGGAGTGTTAGGGAAATCGGATAACTAAATAAAAAGGTAAGGAGATACTACCTTTTAAAGGAACTAGGTAATTTCTCCTTTCCCTCCATATTAAGCTTTGTGATAGCCTACTATCTTTAAATACTTTAATAATATTAATATACTATAATAGCCCTTTCTAGTAGGTAGGCCTTGCCAACTCCCATGGGACTAAAAGGATTTTGGTCCCATAACCCTATCAGTCCCATAGGACTCCCGTGGGACTTATAGGACTCCTATATGGTCCCACGCTAGTATAATTTTGCTAAGAATTTCCTCTTTCGGCTGCATAAATCTATAAAGTAATTAGATAAAATACTATTATTTATAGGTGTATAAGCGTCCCTACCTTTAATATTAACTAACGTGGTTTTTTTCATATAATATAGTTTATAATTAAGTATATAAATGACTTAAGTCTATATTAAAAAGTATCTTGCTCTAAAAGAAAAGTTATATAATAGATTATTATCGCCTATAGGTATAAAAGAGATATAAATATAGGATTTAGTAGAAGTAGTTAAGTAATATATATATATATATTTGTATAAGGTACTAGACTATATTTCTTATATATTATTACGATAGTAAAAATTCGATAAATATATAGTAAAATAAAATTAATTCTAATACTATAAGAAACGTTACCCCTAAGTTATTTATTTTTATCTTATAATCACTATTCTCTACTATATAGTTATTATAAAATTTTAGGATAAAGTAGGTTTAAAAGTGAAGATTTTCTAATTAAAGTTATAGGGGATTCTAGATACCCCTAGATCTATTAACTTCCCCTTTATATAGGAGTCCCGCGAGAGTCCTATAGGAGTCCTACGGGAGTCCCGTTAAATAAACTAATAAGTGAGAAATAATAAGTAGGTCGTTACCTATTTATAATAGGTAGTCGCGCTACGTATTATTTAGAATCTACTAGTAGCTAGACGCGACTCTCCTAATTATAAAGCTAGGCCTTAGAGATATCCTTTTTATACCCTCTTCTATTTTAGTATAATTATAATTCGAGTATATCTTAATATAAACTAACTAACGTATTCGGTAAGCGAGCTGGCCATGTAAGCCAGCTAGCCACCTTACCTAGCCCATTAAATTCAACTTGATTTATCTCAACCAAAACACTATTAAATTAATTCAATTGAATTGATTTATCTATCTAGATAGGTTTCTCTTCTATATCCCGGTAATCTATATATTCCACACGCTCGCCCGGCCTATATAGCTAGCTATAAACCCTCCGAAACCCGCTCACGATAGGTATTGATACGCGCTACTTAGGCCTTAAATAGCTCTAAACGTAGCTTACGAACCTCCTAAACTAAAAGATCTCCTTCGTGATCTATATACCTTAAAGATTAGGTCCGCTTTTACTTCTTCTTCTCGTTTTTAGCGCGTAATTCCTTATTTTCTTTAGCGAGTAGTATAGCACCTTATATTATAAGACGGAAGCCTTTTATAAGTTAGTCTAATACACGATCTAACGGGCTTAGAGGACTTCGAGATCTTATACGAAGTAAAGCTTTAATTGAGGAAGCCTATCGACGTAGTTCTTTCTCTATAGCTAGTGTTTTTAGTGTGGAATTCCGGCTTAATTCGCTACCCCGGCTTAGAGGGGGGTTAGGGTTCG